CCACTTTTAGAAATGAGGAAACAAGTTTGAAAAGAGATTGGTAAATGGCAGAACTATTATTGAAACCCAGGTGTCCTGCTTTTGAATTGTAACCTCAGGCTGCTCCCTTTGCAGTGTTGTTGATAAGCCCACATCTGTGCCTCCCCACATCCTGCTGATCCTCTCTTAGGAGCAGGGCTAGCTGTAGAAACACTTTTTGCTCCGAAGAGCTGGGAATAAATGTCTGGTGACTGTTAAACACAAAAAGGATGAACCATTGTTCTTGTTCTATTTTCTGCTTCCCACCCAAACTCATCATGTGACTGGGTTCAGACAAGCTTTATTGTATTTTTACAGTATGATACAGCCTCACATTTCAAACTATTGCTTTCACTGCGTGTTTCTGATTTCTCTGTGGCAGACCTCTCAGATCTCCCCTGAGAAAGGGCATTGTTTACCACTCCTTTGTTGGTCTTTGCCTCCATTGACTTTTATTCATCTATATCCCAGAGGGTTTAATTCACCAAACATTTACAGAAGATTCCTTTGTTCAGGGGCTGGAATGAACCCAGGAGGGAAATTAGAGGTGAATAAGAGGTGGTTTTACCTGCCAGAAGCTTACAATCTAGTAAAATAAAGTAAAAAATAAGTGACCTGAGAGATAGGTATGTCTGTGGGGATTCAGAGGACAGAAAGATTTAGCAAGAGCTGAGGGTGGTTTTATAGTGGGGATTGAATTCTCAAGCAAGTGGTGAGAGCGAATTTATGCTGAGGAGTGCCAGTGAGAGAAAGGCAAGGAGTCTGCAGATCCTCTCAGGCAGGCTTGTGAGAAATGCAGCTGAGCTGGAGCACAGAAAGTGGTCAGAGAACAGGCGGGAAGAAGTATATTGAGGACATGATAAGGAAAGTCTACGTTAGCATATACCCTAAGTATCTTTATATAACCACAGTAAAATTACTCAACCTAAGAAAAAATTAACAATATTCCTTAATATTATCTAACATCCAGGCCCTATTCAAAGTTCCCCAATTAAGAGAATTATCTGAACTGTAATAACTGAGTATAGGGAAGGATCATAGTGAGGAACTGTAAGCTACTGAAGATGTATGCAGTGATTAAAAAAATCTACGAAACAAAAGACTAGGTCAGTGAACACTGGGATACTGTTCATCCAGATTCACCAAATACTAGCATTTTGTCACATTTACTTACTAATCTTTACTCTTGCTCTTTCTCTCTAGATATCTGTATTCTAATTTCTTAGCTGCCTGGCCAGGCAAACTGAGGCAAAATTTGAAGGCAGGACTTTAGGAATTGGCATTCTGTGCACTTTCAACAAGAAGCAGTCCAAAAGTAGAATTAATTTATTCTTTCAGTAAACATTTGTTGAGCATTTGTATATTGTGTTCCCTTAAAGATTTCTCCTTAAAGAAAAACACCTAGAACAGTGATGGTGAGAACCTTTTAGAGACAAGTATCCAAACTGCAATCCCCAAATCCATTTATTTATCACAGAATGCCATCACTGCAATTAAATTCGAATACTGAGGCTTTAGTTTTGAAAAAAACAATGCATACATTAACATCTTTTGTCTTAAAAACAAATAACATGTGTGCCATTGATTCGCCACCACTGACCTAGAATATAGTGTCTGACCCACAGACCTGATGTTCACAGCAACAACAGAATCCTGAGGTATCTTTCCAAGGTGTTAACATTGGTTTTTTTCACGGTTACAGTTGAAGCTGGGAAGGTTCCCTTAGCACATGCTCTCTAAGCCTTTTTAATCTTGAGTCTTTCAGAGATTTGGACAATTGTCTTGTCCCAGCCAATCCCTACACTGACTCTAGACTGAGTTATTTTTCTCTTTATCTTTTCTACCCTCTCTACCTAAGAAGAACCCAGCTGTGGCAAAGGAAGGGAGTGGTAGCAAAAAGGAAGTAAGAACTGTACTTAGCACTAAATGAGGTGGTTTTGCAACTTTCTGGTCGGAAGACAATGTTTTGTCAGGGGAGAGGGTGGAGCCAGGAAGAGGGCAAGTTCTGCACATCTTCAGAGGGGTGGTGAGACACACAAACCAATGTGGCTAAACTGAAAAGGAAATATAGGCACTTATAAGCAGAGGAGTAAAACCAGACATAATGATATAATAGTTTGTGTCTGACTCCAAGACCCTCGATACTAACTACTACAGAGAGAGCCCTGAAAGTGAGAGACATTAACCCTACCCTCGTAGTAAGATTGGAGACGCTTGGGTCAGAGACTCCACAGTCAGCCTTCTTACTCTCCAGAGTTGGGGACTTTTTTTTTCCCTCCCCAGTACTGGGGATTTAACTTTAACATGTGATTTAACTCACATGAAGCTACATCTCAGCCCTTTATTTTTTTGAGACAGGGTCTCATGAAGTTGTTCACGCTGACCTTGAATTTTCAAATGCCCTGCCTCAGCCTCCTGAGTAGCTGGGACTGTAGGCATGCACCATCATGCCTGGCTTTAAGTTTTAGCTTATACAAACTCTCAGTCCTTTTTTATTAGTGCATATTTATTATATACAAAATTGGGTCCAACTATGGCATTTTCATACCTGCATATAGCATACTTTGATCCTCACTCACCCCTGCATTATCTTTCTCTGCCCTCCCTTCTCTCCTCTCCCTGTTACCCTTCCTTTTGTCTGATAATCTCCTCTCTACTGTCATGTCCAGACTTGGACACCCTTGGATGTGATTCAAAGTCCCTCAAATGAGGCTCTATTTTTTCTAACTCCATTTCCCATAAAACACCCTAAATAAGCTATGCCAAACCATCTCAGGAAGCTTCTGTACAGTTACTCTCATGATTTTGCTGATACTCTTGTCTGCCTGGAGTCCTCTTTCCACTTTCACTCTTAATATTCTATTTCAGTCTGTGAAAATCCTCCTTCAGGGACCAGCCCATGATCCTTTCCTGCATCAGTCTCACCGCTTCGTGTTAAACGACCAAGCCTCTACTGGCTGGACACCGAGAGATCTAAATAAGTAAAACAAGTCCTCAGTCCTCAAGGAGTTTCAATTTAGAAGAAGATATAGACAAATAAATAATACAACAGTAATAGAAATATAGAAGTACAGAAGTTGTGAGCACTTAGGAGAGAGTCTAACTTGAATGGGATGAAGCCGATGTGGATACGTGTTATAATGGATCTGCAGTAGGAACTCGATTTTTGTTTTTGTTTTTGTTTTTTTTTCTGGTACTGGGGATGGAACTCAGGACCTTGTGCCTACAAGGCAGGCTGCAGCACCACTGAACTAAATCCTCAGCCCTGAACTGGATTTCTTTTAGACAGTTGCTTGGCAGACAAGGGCATTGCAGAAAGAAAGAACAGCATCTGTCACAAGTAATAATGTGGCTTCTTAAGGAAATTAAGAAAAATGTCATGTAGGGAGACCTGCAGGAAGAAGGAATAATGAGAGCTGACATTTAATGAAGGGTCAGATTATTTGGACCTTTATGCATGCTAGAGTGTAAACTGTCACTTAATGGATACGTAATGGACATTTAATAAAAGTTTATTGAGCAAGTTAGTGAGGACTCATTCAACAGTTTTAAACAGCACATGGTAGACCTATTGTAGCAGGCCAAGTAAGAAACAGTGAGCTCGTGGACTAAGTCTGTGGCAGTGAGACCAGAGAGCACAGGATGGTTCCCAAAGGTGGATATTGAGCAAGGGAGAAGTAGTTAAAGCAACTCCTGACATTTTGAATTGGGCCTGGGAAAATGATCGTGCTTCCTTCGAAGGTGGGAGTTACAGTAGAGGACTCAGGGTTTTCTTACCACATGTAATCACTTTATTACAAGTGAGTGCCCTTTCTAAGGACAGATTCTTTTCTGTCACCATCTCTTTGCATTAGCACTGAGGCTCATATGATGGTTGGCTGTCATGTTTCCTAGTTAAGAGGAGATAGATGGAGAGCATTCATTTCTAGCTAAGTTTCAAGTGTATTATATAAGGACTTTCCAAAGTTCCCACAAGGGCCCCAGTAAGCAAAGAACCACCTACCCACCTCTCTAACCTCATCTCTAAGAAAGATATGTGGCTATGGCTGGAAGAGGGTCTCCCAAATAAAAAATGTATTCAAGGTTCTTGTTTTATCTTAAAAGCCATGCACATTTTACATATTGCTTCTTAATCCTTGTTTGGATATAATGCCCTCCTCCTCCCCCTTAGAAAAAGAACATTTTAAGCCAAGCCTGATGGCACAGGCCTGCAGTCTCAGCACTCTGGGAAGCTGAGGCAGGAGGATGACAAGTTTAAGCCCAACCTGGGCAGCCGAACCTTAGACACTGCCTCCAAGAAAAGTGAGGGGCCTGGGGATTAACTCAGTGCACAGGTCCTGAGTTCATTCTTCATTGCCTACACACACACACACAATTTTAATTTTTTATATGATGCTAGTTCAGTGGTAGAGTGCTTGCCTAGCCTGCAGGAGGCCCTGTGTTTAATCCTCAGCACTGCAATACATAAATGAACACATACACTTTATGGCTGAGATGTAGCTCGGTAGTCGAGGATTTGCTTAGCTTGTGCAAGGCCCTACATTCAAGTCCCTAGCAGTACCAAAAACAAATGAAAACCACTTTCTGTTTACTTATTTGTTTACATTTTTATTTTGTTTTGCCTTTTTGAGACAGAGTGTCACTGTGTAGCCCAGGCTGCCTTCGATCTGGTGATGCTCCTCCTGCCTTAGCACCCCAAGTGTTGTGATTGCAGGCCTTCGCCACCACACCCAGCTAATAAATACTGATACATACAACCTGTAGCACACTGCTGCAGACTCCCAGACTCCAGTTTGAGAAGAACCACAAAATTTTGTTCAACGTATTATGTTCCTAATTCTATTGGGCTGATAGGAGTATGAACCTTTAGTTGCTTCTCCTGTAAGACCCTGAGAGGAGCCGGGGCATATGTGGCCTACAGATAAGAGAGATTTGGCTTTAACTTTATGGGCCTTTCTGTCTTATGTCCCCAGGTACTGCAAAAATTGGGAAAAACTGTAGAAACCAAAGATGAGCGATTTGAACAAAGTGCTGGCAACTTCTACCAACAACAGGTAATCTGGAGGATGGGAAAGGGCAGACGGTGGAAGAAAGAAGGTGTGAGAGCCAAGTAGCAGAAGACAGGGGTGCTACACACCACGCATCCTTAGCGACCCGTCCTCCCCCGCCCCCGGCTCAGGGCCACAAGGTGACCTCTGGAAACCAGAAAGGCTTTCTTTCCCCTTTACTGCTGACCCGGGATTTGGGGGAACAGAGGAATGTTCTTTTTTCTTAGTGATTTCCCTTGGGATTGCCAAGGTTCAGTGGCATCACTAGGTCCTTAAACAACATCAAAGTGAACCCTTGTTACCTAAATTTTGGTACATGTGTCTTCCCAAGGTGCCTCTCCAGTCCTAGGTCTCCTCTCATCTCACTTAACCCATAATTTCCTTGTTGCTTTTTTGGCTGTTACACCTACCCCACCTGAGCCCTTTATTTCATAATAATTCCTCCCATTTGCTTGTCATTCCCACCAATAAACCCCCTGTTTTCACTGTTCCTTCTATTTCAGCAGGTTGTTAAGGATTATCCCATATAGAAAACACATTAAGACATACATAGCCTGATGTGCCTGTAATCCCAGCGTTCTGGAAGGCTGAGGCAGGGATCAAGCCCGGCTTTGGCAGTTTAGCATCTGAGTAAGACCCTGTCTCAGAATAAAGAATAAAACAAGGACTGGGAATATAGCTCAGTGTGCAGGCCCTGGGTTCAGTTCCTAGTATGGGGAAAGAGGGGAAAAAAAGAGTAAGTGCATAGCAGACAGGTTTAATCTCCATAAGATATTTGACTTTTTAAATTTTCCCCTTGGTACTTTTTAATTTTTTTTTTTTTTTTTTTTTTAGACAGGAGTTTGGCTAAATCACTAAAATGCCCAGGCCGGGTTTGGCTTGGACTTGTGATATGCCTCCCTCGGCCTGCCTGAGTGCTGAGGTTATAGGCGTGTGCCACCATGCCAGGGAGATATTTGACTTTCCATCTACCATGTCCAAGACTGTGTTCAGTGTTTTTAATCTCATTTAATACTTGTATCAGGCTTGGCAATTTTGTCCCTACTTTATAATAGAAGAAAGTTATTCTTCTAAAATGACTGCCTAGTTGCAGTGTGGCTCTGACACTACTCAGAATCAGGCCAGATTTCACAGGTTAAGGGCACATTCCCCCACATGCCTGACCTCTCTTCAGATGCCAGCTACCCGCTCCTGGGTCCAGGCCACCTGGACTTCTGTTCAACTTGATATAAATTCGGAGTTTCTATTACCTGCTTGAGTGTGATGATTCATTAGAATGACTCTCAGAACTCAAGAAAGTACTCTTTACCATAACGATTTTATTATAAAGGGTACAGATCGGGACCAACCAAATGAAGAGGCATATAAGGTGAAAGCTCCTGAGTCTTGATGACATCACACTCTCTCAGCCCATTAATAAAGGATTATTCAGGCAAGCTTCAGGTGTCCAGAGTTCTCATTGCAGTTTCTTTATACCGCTGGCTATGTGATAGACCTCAATCTCTTATTCTCCCTCCCCTCCCCAGAGGTTAGGTTGATAATACCTGTCTCAAAGCCTGGACCCTTGAATCACTTGGTTAATTTTTCTAGCCTCCCCAGCCACTACCTTGAGTCATCCGGTTAATATAAACCCAGGTATGGTCTTAGGAGACCACCATGGATAACAAAGACATAGCATGTAAAGTTTATTTTGTCCCAGGAACCAGGGACAAAAACCAGCCAAATTCTGTATATACACTATCAGCTAGGTGAATTATATGGATAATAATTATTAAAATTATAGTTAAAGGATATTAACTAGCTGATTGTATATCAGAATCATTTGGGAATTTTTACACTATCTTTAAAATTTTTATTAGCGTGTGTTTGCAGAACATAGAGATTACATTCATTGTGGGGAATTGGTAGTATATAACACATTGTAATTCTTTTTACATCCCCTCTCTTCCATCCCCCTTCCCTCCATTTCTTGGTCCCTTCAATTTGGGAAATATTTAAAAAATACAAGGTCTTAAAAAATACAAGATCTTAGCTGAGTGTAGTGTACACATCTGTAATTCCAGCAGTCTGAGAAATTGAGGCAGGAGGATCACAAGTTCATGCCCTGCTTTGGCAACTTAGAAACTAAATAAGACCCTATCTCAAAATAAAAATAAAAAAGGGCTGGGCATGTAGTTTAAGGCAAAGGCCCTGGGTTCAATCCCTAGTACCCCTCTACATACACACACACACACACACACACACACACACACACACACACACACACACAGAAGTCTCTGGACATAGGGATAAAATCTTACTCTTAAAATTTTTTTTGGAGTCAGGGTCTCACTATAAAGTTCAGACTGGCCTTGAACTCACTATATAGCCCAGGGTGGCCTTGAAGGCACCACAGTTCTCCTGCCTCAGCCTCCAAGTGCTAGGATTACGGTAGTGTGCTGCCACACCCAATTTAAACATTTTTAGTAGAAAATTTCAGATACAACAAAGGAATTTATGTAATGAATCCTTGTGTACCAATCACCTAGCTTTGCTAATTTATCAAATATTGGGCAGTCTCATTTCATCTATGTCTCTACTTACTTTTGTCTTATCTTTGATTTTCTAAAAAAATTTTTAATACATGCAGTACAACATGATTACATTCATCACAGGGAGTTGTTATTTGTACCTAACACATGTTAATTCTTTGGTTTTTTTTTTTTTTTTGGTTCCAGGGATCAAACTCAGGACCTTGATGTTAATTCTTTTTTGTCCCCTTCCTCTTCCCTTCCCTCCCCCTCCCTGAATCTTTTGGATCCCTTCCCTTTTTTTTGTACATGTTTATAGTACACAATGATCACCTTCTTCATGGGAAGTTAGTACATGTATAGAACACATCTCAGTTCCTTTATTTAATCTCAGTCCCCTCCCCTACCTCCTGCCTTTCTCCATCTTTTGGTCCGCTTTCTATATGCAAAAGATCCATCTTGCTGTTTCCTATTATCTATTTCATATTTTACTCTTTATTTATATGGTTTCTCATAGAAGAGAGACTATGTAGCACTTTGGTTTTGGTTTTGGTTTTGGTTTTGCTTTGTCGGGGTGGATTTGTGAAACAAGGTTTCATTATGTAGTTCAGGCTGACCTTGAACTTAACTGTGTAGCCAGGCTGGCCTCAAACTCGAAGTGATCCTCCCAACCCAGCCACCCAAGCCCTGAGAATATAGGTGTGTGCCCCCACACCCAGGACAGACCATGCAATATTTAAACTTGTGTGTCTGATTTATTTCACTTAACATTATGGTCTCAAAGTGCATCCATTTTCCTGTAGATGACTCAAGTTTATCTCTTATGGCAGAGTAGTACTACATTGTGTATAAATGTCACATTTTCTTTGTGCATTCATCTGTTGATGGATATATAGGCCACTTAAAAGTTTTAGCTATTGTAATTTGTGTTGCTATAAACATGGATATGCACATATCATTGTAATATGATGTCTTTAACTTAGGAAGAAGCCTAGAAGGGAAACACCTGGGTCAAATGGAATTCCTAGTTTTAGTTTTTTGGGGAACTTCCATACTGATTTCTGTAATAGTTGTACTAATTTATACTCTAACCAACAATGTAGAACAGTTCCTTTTTCCTCATAGCCTCTCCATCATTTATTTTTTTTTTATTTCTTTAGGATGGCCATTCTTTCTGAAATAAGGTAGAATCTCAGTGTTGTTTTGATTTGCTTTTCTCTAATGCCCAGAGATGGTGAACTGTTTTCATGTATTTATTGGTCATTTGTACTTCTTCTGAGAAGCGTCTTATCATTTCAGTTGCCCATTTTTTGATTGGGTCTTTTATTTTGGGAGGTCTAATTTTTCTGAGTTTTTTATATATTCTAGATGTTAGTCCTCTGTCCGAAGAATAGTTGGCGAAAAAATTTCCCCATTGTGTAGGTTGTATCTTCACTCTGTTCTTTTTGTTTGCTTATGCAATTGGTGTTCTATTCAGAAAGTTCTCATCTATGCTTGGCTTCAGTAGTTTTACCTATTTTATCTTTCAGCAGGTTTTGTTGCTGTTAATATTTAGATCTTTGATCCATTTTTATTTTAGTTTAGTAGACAGTGAGAGCTTAGGGTCTAGTTTCAATCTTCTGCATGTGGCTGGCCAGTTTTCCCAGTATCCTATCCTTGATTTTTTTTTTTTTTTTTTTTTTTTGGTACTGGGCATTGAACTCGGGTCCTTGCACTAGCGAGACAGGCCACCGAACCGCTGAGCTAAATCCCCAGCCCCTCCTATCCTTGATTTTTATGAAGCAAATTCCAATTATCATTTCATTCATAAAATTTTCATTTTCCATCTCTAAAGAGTAAGATGGTTAAAATGTTACAGTACCTGAAAATTTTGTTTTGTTTTGGTTTGGTTTTGGTACCGGGGATCAAACTTGGGCCTTTGCACTTGTGAGGCAGGCGGCAGACCAACTCAGCCAAATCCCCAGCCTGTGAAAATGTTTTTTTTAACAAAAACATTTGCTTATTACAACACAGCAGAAAGTACATCAAGGAAAAAGAGAAGCTTAGCTAGAGACAATAGTTCAGTAGAGCAGAGAACTTGCCTAGCATATGGGAGAGGCCCCTAGGTTAGATTCCCGACATTGCAAAAAAGAAAAGAAAGAAAACTTAAAAATGGTAATGAGTTCACACTTCTAGGCTACAACCACCAATGTCTTATATCCTTACAATTATTTTGTTATATATTTGATACCTAAATCTTTTCCAAATAATAAATAATTATAAAAGTGAGATTATACCACACCTGTTTTTTGTTTGCCTTGTTTTGTACTAGGATTTTAGGCAAGTGATTAAAGTTATTTTTAAAGCTATTCAAATGGTTTTGCAACTTGCCTCTTTTGAGACAGGGTCTCACACTGTAGTTCAGGCTGGCCTTGAACTCTTAGTGATCCTCCTGCCTCAGCCTCCTGAGTACTGGAATTATAGAGCCACCATGCTTGAAACTAGTTTTTTGTTTGTTATTTGTTTTTTCATTTAACAACAAAATACAAGTATCTTTTCAGATATTCCAGATTAACTATTCCACTGAAATGTAAGCTTTAGTGCTATCTAAAAAAAATTAGCACCATTCCTTAAAATGAAATACTCAGTTGAGCCAGGCATGGTGACACACGCCTGTAATCCCAGCACTCAGGAGGCTGAGGCAAGAGGATCTCTGCGAGTTCGAGGCCAGCCTAGGCTACATAGTGAGTTCAAGACTAGTCTGAACTACCCAGTGAGACCCTAAAAAAAA